ACCATGGCCCTGCTTGAACTGTTAGCAAAAGGCGGTACAGTATGCCGTGAAATCTACTCTTAGAGAAGATATACCTTAATTGACACACTCGGAGTACGAACATATTTGGATGTTTATACAAATGCTTATTTAATGACGTTATCGAATTTATGATCAAACTACAAAAATTGGTTTTCAGCCAAGTCAAAATATTAAGAATACAGCCTAGAACTAGTTTAAAAAACGCTTGTTTGACCCCTTGAAAACCAAAGACATGTGATCCATCAAAATGGTATCACCTCTACTTAAAATTAATTTGGTGAACAATCGTGGAGAGTTACTGTATGTTTTCATCCATGTGTATTTACTGCGTAAAACTATTATTGTAACATGATGCTGATTATTAATGACGAATATTTTGATCCGTACCTTCAGGTCCTTTGGATGAATTTAATGAATTTTTCACTAATGAATTTCGTCTGCTATAGCTGGCAGAGTTAAAATCTGATAATACTGGTGTTAGACCAGAAGCCTGAATTAAGCTGCGAAAATGATAGCATCGAAATGCTAAAATAATGGCCTATCTATCCAGTAATGCCACAAATTTCAGACTGACTTTTAGCAACTTCAATGAAAATTTGCTTACAAATAGTGTAACATTAAAATGCTATGGGAAGATATTATTTTCTTAATAATGGCATAACTATTTTTATCAGATTAAATCGAAGAAGTGTACTGAGTCTATTTCTTGCTTTCATTTTTAATTTGAAAAACGTATTTTAGGCACGCTGATCCAGACGGTACTGACGATGATGATGGTTCATTTATTCATCAGTCGGTTAACAAGATCTAATCTCTGGAACTTCCTAAACTTTTATCCGATGTTCCTCTATGGAAACATCATGCTTCTTTTAGCAGTCATATTTTCCCAATATGAAAATAAATCCTTTCACGTTCTGATCAATTTGTTCCTGTTTATTTCCCATGTTCAGGTTTTGAAAGGTACTGCAGTTTCTTTGATATTGATATTATATCCTAAAAATAACAGATTTCTTGATCACGAAATTTCCAAAGTTCTGGCATTGGAGTTTCTATTTCACCGCGATAGCAATAAACAGTGGCAGTGCTGCGTGTGAAATGGAGTAGCTTTATGAAAAATGAACAATTTTCGGACAGTGCAATAATATAAGAAAAACTAAAGAAAATAAACATAGATAACTATATAGCTGAATTAATTAGTGACAGACACTAGCTATGTAAAACTTAGGAATTGATGAATGTCGATTCACATGTTGATGGCTGAATATTCGATCGTGAAAAGCAGCACAAAACGGTATATTAATCCACAGCGCAATGGTACATATCAAGCGATGGTATCGCTATATCGCCAAATAGACCATTATACTGCTGGGTATATTAATAACCGTGTTTTGTGCTCTTCACATATTGATACATATTTATGCGTAGCTTTAATATTTGTGACAACCCGAACGATATATTTTTATTTAAACTGCTGTTATTCGATGTGCGAAACTTCGCCATTTGCAGGGATACATTTCAGGCACTACGCGAATATTTAAATTAAAAGTCTGAAAGGCTTGTGACATTAATTTAATAAAGGTTAGTAAATATGACTATATGTTCGTGTATGATGTAATTCGCTGATGCTACAGTCTGACCATGTGTGCTTGTTTAGTAATTTTACTTCCTCTCTTAATGATACGTCGTTTATACCCCTTTTAGTGTATAAGATAAACGCTATACTGTCATTCATTTTACCCAAGTGCCCGGTATTAGACGTGGATCATTTTTGAAAGCAAACAGCAAAAGTCCTCAAAACAGCATAGTGAATATGGGACGATGCAAAAGCCCATGCAAGGAAAATGAAAGCACAGGGCCGTCTGGACTTTTTCTACAATGGTCGCCATTTGTGTCATTGTTTTGTCATGGATTGATGGAACATTTCCGTTACGATACCACCATTCGGGCAATATTACTACGGATTAGTTGTAATAACTTGTCGTCTCCCCTTTCTTTTTTATGCAATATTACTAGTTTACCATACTTGTCTTTAAGAACTAGACAATGATTGCCAACCGGCATTGGAACCTATCTTTCGACCAAACGTATGATGTTCTAGAGACTATGCCAGTGACCAGTGTCAGACCAGGATTGTTCAGTTTGTGGGCTTTGGAATTCAAAACCGATATGTTCTGAGTTCATGCCAGGGTCGGGTTGCACTTGCTCTTCTTTCCGATGTGAATAAATGAGTAGCACTCTGTGCCAAGGAAACAGATTACGCACTACTCTTGGTACATGGTTGTAGACTCTGCCTTTAAAAAATAAGACGTTACTGGCTGATGGCATACAAGCGATCAATACCACATAACTTCATGAAAAGAAGGGTGCCAAAATGACCCACTCATGAAGATGAAGGAGGAAAAAAATTCCAACGTTGACGAACTTTCATTCGCCAGTGAAGCGACTAGCCAGTAATCGAATTCACGAAGGCCCTCCCATATTGGTGCTCATTATTTTTTTTGTACCCAGTCTACCTCAGATTTATAAAGAGAGGGATTATTGCTTTCAGTTATGTGAACTCTCATGAAACAGCTAAATATCATTGAGAAAGATTGTGAAAGTATTTATAAAAGCAATCGCAGGTCAAAATTTTTGACTTATAGAGGTGACTCAGTATCTCCCCATGCTTATTGCAGGCAAAATGCTTGTATCCAAAACTT